CTCGTCTTTTCAGCCGTGGGGGCGTTAAAGTTATTTGTCATCAGAAAATACGCACACATCCAGAAAAAAAAGAAAAGATCTTGACTCGCAATCCGAGGGTCGCAGGTTCGAATACTCGTCCCACCAAACATGCTCGTCCTTTCAGCCGTGGGGGCGTTATAAAGTGCAGTCAATCCCACTATTCGTTGACAACGGAATAGCCCAAGAGTTGGCGGTGGGTGGTAATGACGGGGACGGCTAGCATATATAGCCCTCGTGTACCTTTGCGCGAAATTCAAAACAACTCAAACTTCTTTCACCACTATCTTTATAGGTTTTTGAAAAGCTTTGTTTTGTTTGCTTATTTTGAAGGGCGAGCATGTTTGGTGGGACGGGGATTCGAACCCACAACCCGCAGATTGCAAATTTGAGTGCCCTAACCACTTGGCCATACCGGGCCGTTTTTTTTAAAAAAAGAAACGTACATGATTTGAACTATAACATACCAACTTCAAGTACAGTCACCCACCAGTAGCACAGCGGCATGTCTGCGGACTTACAATGCTAGAAACCGGGTTTCGATACCCGTGGTGGGCAGAGCACAGATAGACCATTGTGTAGCTTTTTCCATAACTTAAAACAAACAAATCAAGTACAGTCCTTCTTAAACCACTTCTCAAACATATACTCTTAATATACTTATAAGTATAAGGAAAAAGACTGATATACTGTAAATGTAATTTTTTTTAATAATACATTTTTGACTTATGAACTAAGAAATGTCAATGTCCTGGCTAGTGCAAACTAATGAGATGGAGATACTGAATAGTGAATCTATGGGAGCTTCGAAGCTAGTATAAAATTAGGGCGCGCTAGGTGATTTTTCGAATTATCGAAAATTTTCTTTCATATTCTTCCCTGTTCCTGTACTGATTTGTAAGAATTACTTACAGCAAAAAAACAAACAAAAAAACTGTCAATAATTATACGATGATTGTAATAATAAAGAAACGTTGAGATCGTAAATTTTTAAGGTTTTTTATATTAAAATACATTTGTCATATCCAGAATATATGCTAAAAAGGCAGTGTATCAAGAGCGCCGATTGACATCGGCCCACACAGCCTGTGTCCCTGATGCATCCCATAGTGCCCCGAATCTGTTTCAAGATCTCGCGTAAACTATACTATATTTAATTGAAATTATGCTTTAATTATTTTGAGTAGTTTCTTCTTCTTGGAGACTAAGCCCCG